TATGATGAGAGGGGTGGGTTTAGAAGAACTAAATTTGAAAGTAGTATGAATTGTGAAAATTCACTCCTTAGTAGGAAAAGGGAAACGCTATGAATCTAGCAATCAAAGATGGTTTAAGGAAAGTTACTCTCAGAGGTAGAATTACCTAAGACTACTATTACAGGTTGAACTGTGTGCCTCTCAGAATTTACATGTGGAAGCCCTAACACCCAGTGCTCCAGAATCTGAGCTTGTTTGGAGATACTGTCTTATTCTAAGAGAGGAATTAAATTACTCCGAGTAGATCTTTCGGGGAGGGGGGTGTAATCCAACATGATCTTAAACATGTCCTTATAAAAAGGGGCATTTTGGACATGGTGACAGAAACACAGAGGGGAGATGATATGAAGAGACACAAGGAGATGGCCATCTTCAGGCTGAGGAGAGAGCCAACAGATCCCTCCCTCAGCCCTCAGCAGGAAGTAGCCTGCAGAAATCTCAGTCTTGGACTTCCAGCCTTCAGAGCCATAGAACGAGATGGTAAATCTCCACTGTGTAAGCTAGTCAGGCTGTACGCTTCCTCCTGCCTGGTCTAGCCACTAACCTAGGCACTGAAGATCTTGAAAACCACCACTGAGAGCCTCAGGAACTGGAGTACATCCTTCATGCTTTATCCCCAGCAGACCTGGCACGATTAGTTGATGATAAAGCTGCTGTCGTGGCTTGTGTCTAGATGTCCTCCCCAAGCCTCCTGCACTCTTAGGTGGGGCCTTTGGAAGGTGACTGGGTCATGGGGCTGTGATACTGGATTAGATCACCGATGAGTTTATAGCTGGAGGTGACGCTGGGAGGTGGAGCCTCGTGGGAAGAGCTGGGTCACATGGCAGCGGCCTGGAAAGATATATAATATTCCTCCTCCTCCCCTGATGGCTCCCTGCTCACTGTCCACCCTGCCATGGACTGTTTCTCCTCTGCCTTGCCCCCCTCAGAGCCAACCAATTACAGATGAAAACCTCTACAAGCTGTAAGCTGAAATAAATCTCTCCTCCTCTAACTTGTAGGTGCTGGGTATTTTTATCCTAGCAATGAGAAAATAACTAAGACAGTTGTCCTCTTGCTGGACTATGAGTTTTGATGATAAGAACTAATGTAATTCAAACTGTGCCTAAACACAGTGGAAATCCAACAAAATTCATTTTTTCTGTCTGTATTGGAAGCTCTTTAACTTCTTTTTACCTAATTGTCAAAAAGAAACAAACACAGATGGATTTGAGTACATTCCAAATCTTTACTTATGTTTAGTCATATAATTACAAACGTGTGTATGTGTGCTTGTGTGTGTGTTTGTGGTGTGCATATGCACACATGTAGAGAGAGAAGAGGGAGAGAAAGCGAGACAAGGAAAAAAAAAGAGACAGAAAGGGAATTTTTTCCCAAGACTTTCAGTGGGTGGCAGGAAAAAAAAATCCACGTCATGCCAGCATGATAGCTGATGTTAGGTACTATTTATAGAGCTGGCCATGGTCATGTCAGAGCTTTTAGAGGGAAAACATCTGGGTGTATTCCAAAGAGAGAAGAGCCCAAGTCACAATATCCTCCACAGTGGAAATCTGAATCTTCCCGAAAGTTGCAATTTACATTTGCTAAATATGCTCCTGTGCCTCAGAGACCCCGGAGGAGCCTCTCTCTGGCACCTACTTTAACAAAAGAATAACACAATAGCCATCAGCTCTCCAAGTTTGAAGCCAGTTCTGCAGGGAATGAATGGCTGCCGTATAGCAGACTGCACACAGTAGCTTCTGCAGGTGGGTGGCCAGTCAGCGAGAGTCTCTGCCAACTGGAATGTGTCACCAGCACTCTTGGGATCTTTATACTAAAGGGGGGGACCCTATTTCTACAATATTTTGCTGACATAAAGCAAGTGTGCCCTACTTTTGACAAAAGCAATACATTTAAAATAAAAATCCAGATTCTGAAAACAGATCTATCAGAACAAAGCAGTCCAGCCTAAAAAAGGAGCAGGCCGTGCAGAGGCCAAGCCCTCAGCTTTATTCAGCAAAGGATGCTCAGCACACAGGCTGAGATCCAGCAGGCAGCCCCTCCTCCAGAGACACGTGTGGCCTAAAGCAGCTGTCTCTGTTGGCTAGGCCGAGCCCTCTGTACTGCAACACACTACAGCTTTCCAAACACTGCCTTCCTGTGACGCCCTCACCACACAGGTGCTGCAGGTGAGGAACATCTGTAATGCAGCCTGCCTTGGGAGGGCTGTTTCCTCAGAGACGCTGCATCCCCGCCCCTTTGTCTTTCCTGAGTCTTTTCCCACATCACCCTGCATCTTCTGCCCCCACGCTCTATTAGCACTGCATTGGCAGGACTGCTTTTCTGTTTCTGCGAAACCTCTTCCTGGCTTCCCAGTGACAACCCTCAGGAGAGGAAGCAGGGTTTTGAGTCGGGCTGCGGCTTTGGTAGTGACTAACATGTGGGCCATCTATCTTATCTGTGGCTTCAGGAAAACAATGGATTTCAGGACAGAGAGCAAGAGGGAGCAGGCTGCCCCCATGCTGAACGACCTCTCTAAAACATACCCACTTCTGTGCCTTCATTCCACAAGTTTCCAGTCCCAAACGTGTTCATTCCATTTGGGTCAGGAAGGGGCGAGAGGTGGGTCACAGGAAGCCAGGCTTGCAGGAATCCGTGGAAGGCTGGCCCACGTGCGCACACTCACTTCCCTGAACAGGACAGAAACCGAGTCCCTCAAGACCGGATCCACTACTGGATCTCACTGTCTTTGTATAATGTTTACTATTTGTATTACAAAAATCAATAAAGGCTCACTACAAAATATTTGAAAACTGCAAGAAAAATATAAAGAACAAAACAAAAGCATCCATAACCCCACCACCCAGAGAGAAGCTCTACTTGCATGTTGGTCTATTTTACTCACTTTTTGGAAATAAACATATATTCCTTCAGCTGGTTAAGAGGACACTTCCCTGGCAGCTTCCTGATCATTGCCTCATGCCATTAGCATTTTTCAGAAAACTTTACAGAGGGCCAACTACTGCACCATATGGATGATAATTTACTTAGCTTAAGTTACTTAAGTCCCTTCAGTGGGGGAAGCTGAATCCAGTTTCCAGGAAGGCAAGTAGCACCACAATGAATGATACTGTGCACTCATATTTCTGATTATTTCCTTGGAATAAAATTATAAAGATAAATAAAAAGGTATAGAAAAACCTTTAGCCACATCTTCCAGAAAGACTGCACCAATTAAAACTCCACGAACAGGACCTTATACCACCATCCTACTATCTCTGTGACACCAGGTGAAGTCTTTCTTTCTTTTTTTCTTTCTTTTTTTTTTTTTTTTTTTTT